GCATTCCATCCCGTCTCCCCCATGTCAATCAAAAACTTCAGACTTTAAAAAGCTTGACAGTCAAAGACATTATTTGGTTATATCTGTTCTCTTCCCTTTTTAAATATTTTCGGTTCCCATACATGTCGAAGCACAAAGCAGTCCTCTTTCTCTGTCTGCTCTCCCAGCTAAGACATTGAGAGGTCATGAACTTTGACCTTAACCCATCCATATGAAGTTTATCATCTTAACAAGAATCAGCTTGCCTCAAATGCAAATCTCTCCTCCTCCCTCCTGTTCCTCCAGACACACTGCTTTTAGAGCTGACTTAGCCTAGATGTTATTTTCTGCAATAAAGAAATAATTATGAAAATGCATAGGCATATCTTGACCACTTGCCATGCATAGAACAAGTTGTTCTGAAACTGACCTTGTAACTCAACCAGAAAAAGATTTCAACTGCCATATAGACCTCCAACTAATTAGAAAGCCTGCAGGAAACCCCCATGTAGACGGTCCCTTTATCCCACTGTTCTATAACCTATACTTGCCACGTTCAGATGCTTACTAAGCAAATACCCCATTTAGTTTGTAATATAGACTAACGGTGCTTCCACCTCCTGTGCTTATTATGTTTTGAAAATTCTGGCCTGGTGAGTGCCATCTATCAAGTGTTCAGAATTGCTTGGCAACGCAGCAGCAGCAATATGTTAAGACCGATTTAAAAGTGCGACGGCGGCCTCACGTCCAGCCCTCCCGGGCCCCCGCTTTGTGTTCATTCACAATGGCGCGTTCCCCAGCGACCGTTAAAACCGCCACAGGGCGAGGGGCTGATGGACCCTCATTTCAAACTGTTGCCAAAATTTGTCTTTGAGCCGTCAACCGACGGATACAAGTTGTACAGAACAAAGTTACTGATTTTTTTTTTTTGTTGTTGTTGTACAGAATCATTGGATATCAACAGATTTGTTGTAAGTAAACTCAGCTTTCATAAAATACGTGTTTGTATAGAGCTATACATTGTAGCTCTACATAGGCTACAATGTAACGTCACGGCTACTTTGAATTTGAATAGGCGATAGCCTACACCCAATTATGCTTATATATATATATATATATATATATATATATATATGTGTGTGTGTGTGTGTGTGTGTGTACTAGTAGTTATTATAGGCTAGTATACAAACACACACACACACACACATAGGCTACTACACATACGTGTAAGTTCGTGACTGTTATGTGGTGTTATTGTCATGTGGAGTGTTCTAGAATTTCAGGCAAACTAAACTGCATTTTGCCTTTGTAGTAGATCTCGATTAATTTAAAGTTAACCATATTGGCTATAAAGTGTTTGCGCAATAGTTTCGAGAACAGGCGTGAATGTTCAGTAGTGTTGTGAGAAACTGGCGTGTCTCTTTCTTGTCATTTAGGACTGCATAAAACGCGATTTCCGTGCAGATTAACAAATCCGCATATTTCATTTTATAGCTGTTGCGTGAATTGCTGTGCATGTTCACGGCAAGGGTCTGACAGCATACCGCAGTGCGCGTGACCGAGCGCACTCAGCTCCACTGGGAAAAGCTTGCATGAGTTTGATCATTAGCGTAATCGAGTTGCAAAGGCTACTGAATGAGTTTTCAAGGAGAGAAAGAGACTATGAAGGAATGACCTGAAAAAAACATACATGGGCGAGTGGCTCTTAATGCATTCTACTATTAGCCAGAGAAACAGTTACAGAAAGCATCTTGCATCTTGTGCAAAATATGCCTTGTGTTTCTGCTGTGTATGTGTTTCTAAGTATGTGTTCAAGAATTAGGTCTGCTCTATAAAATGCACATCACATCTGGAGTGGATTTAGAGAACAAAAAAGATGGATAATATTTGGCCCCGCTTTCCAATCAAAGCTACACACACACACACAACATTGACCCCAGAATGTCTACAGGCAAATATGTGATGCTGAGGGCTTGTGGTTCATAAGAGCCGATAAGGTCATGAGGGTTGATAAACAGATCAACAATGCAATAAAAATGTGACGAGAAGAGTTCGGAGCAGTGAATCTATCAGACTGGGAGGAATGCCAAATGAAAGATAATTTAGCTTCACTCTGGTCTCCATATGTTGAACAGAGCCATAAAATAATGCTGTAATTTCTATAGAATGAAAAAAGAAGAAAAACGTGAGAGAGACAACATTCTAAAACTAAGTCAAGCCATTTAATGTGTTAATGTAATAAGCATCTAAATGTGAGAATTGGCAGAATCCAAACATTAACATTTCATGGGCTGATTTTGACTGTTTTGTTGTAAGAATAAGGATATTAATTTTAATTTTAATGGATATTAAAGTGCTTAGAACATAAGATTATGGTGAAGATTTGCATTTAGTTGGTGGTCTGTAGTCTGTGGATTAGAGAAATTCCCCTATGTAAAGCAACAATGGAGCACAGAGAGCTCTGAAAGAAAAATGGGAGGATAAGGAAAGGAAAATGAGAAGTGATTGCAAGTGGGTATGGTGTGTTTCATAAAGTTTGTCTGTTCAAGCTCCTGAGAGTGACATAACCTCGGAAATTGAACAGTTTTTGTCCAGTATATTGTTAATTACGTATAGGGCAATCCGTAGATCTAGAATGCTTTAGTTACATTTACACTTATTTAGATTTATTCATTTAGCAGAAAATTTTATCCAAAGGGACATACAAATGACAACAATAGAAGCAGTGAAACTAACAAGGACAACAAAATGCAAGACCTTTCCCAGTTTAATCAATACATGTACTTTTTGTAACGATAATAGATATAGAATATAAGATAAAGTTTAATGGATCAGGTGTTGCCGAAAAAGTTAAAAAATTCTTTAAAATGGCCACGGACTCTGCAGCTCAATCCACCTGCAGGGAACAGACCGGGAAAAGCTCAGAGAAAGAGATTCTGTGCCTCTTTGAGATGGCACCACAAGATGGCGTTCACTTGCAGTGCGCAAGTTTCTGGATGGCACTTAAGTCTGAAGTAATGAGTTCAGGTAGTAGGTAGCTGTAAAAGGGAGCAGTGACTTGAATTTGATAAGAGTGGCAATTGGCAACCAGTGCAGTTTTGTAAGGAGAGGAGTGATGTGTGCTCTCTTCGGCTCATTGAAGACCACTCTGGCTGCAGCATTCTGGATCAGTTGCAGACTGATCAGGGTCAGACCTGCCAGGAGAGCATTACAATAGTCCACTCTGGACTAGTTGTCTTTTGTTGCTACAATCTGCATGAACTTCCTTTGGACATCCTGTCATTGTCACTGCATGGTGAATTTTGGAGCACATCAAGAGCAGTAGGAACATCACAAGTTCTTACAGACAAGACTATTATTAGCTATTGAAAGAATTCAATATGCACAGTATTAACAGCGTGCCAGTGTCATTTCAGAATATCTCTCTATTAACAATGAAGCTGTGAGTTTAATTAAAATAGCAATGTAACCCCTTCAATGCTGAATCTACGGGAGCCTTTATGTACCAAAAAGCTATATGATTGGATGTCTTATAATAGCACTTTGTCAAGTGTTCCTTCGGGTGAATAGGTTTGTTATTTCAAACAAACTGCAATTTGACACAATGAACAATGAATGTTACAGTATGAATTACTGACTGTGAAACTTGCCGGGCAGTGATAAGCGCCTCTCCCTGCTGCTCCTCCTGCTTTCAGTTATGTTAAGCTAGCCTGGCAAGCCAGACCTACATCAAGATGTTAGGTCTGGGAACTCACAATTGGCATACTTCAATCCGAGGGGCGGGATAAAAAGTTGTCTTTCAATATCCCTCTGCACGCAATAGGATATAGCGCTAACCAACCAGGGCAACGAACAGCTGTGGCTGAGTGAGTCCCATGCGTTTTCCCACCAGCGGAGCAAGTTGATATATAAACTTTTGCCGTATACGGTCGTCAAAACTCCGAACACATCTTGCTTTGTCTTAAGTGACGTTCTCTGAACTACAAGTCATCCAGAGTCGCGGCCAAAGCCGAATCGAAAGACTGCTGTTCACGGGCAGCATCTTGTTTGTTTTCAAGCACAATAGCAGCGAAATCACTTATGGAAATCACGGCGCAAAACCATCACAACTCTGCCGTCATTGTGTTAAGCCCACCCACCAACTCTATACACGATGTGATTGGCCTGACCAGAGTTTGGTTTTTCCACTTCGAAAGCCAACAAAGAGTTGCTAGACCAAACTGGCTGCAAAATAATTTTTGCTAACGCTAGGGTGCGTCTAGATTTCTAGGCTAACTGGCTCTGAACGAAAACGTGTTGTGGAAACGCGTTGGCTACTACTTTTTGTTTCTCTCTGCTATTATAGTTTTTGTAGTTTTTCAAGATGGCGGAACTACAGGGAAACCTCCATGGATCTACCCGTCGCATGTACATAAAAATAACAAATTCTTTGTTTACGAGGATAAGTCGGATAATTGGCAGAGTATACCATTGAGGACATATTTATGAATAAAAATATTGATTTTCGATAATAAAATACCTAAAAAAGTACACATTGTCCCTTTAAAGGCCCTATAGGCTATTTCCTCACAAAAGCTGTTTATTCAGCATAGTGAAGCATCTCCTCCATTGATATCTATTTAAAAACAACAACAAAAACGGCCTCTTGTCTCCTCTGTGTTAGGGTTTTTTTTTTTTTTTTTATTTATTTTTTTTATTTTTTGGCAAAAGGTAGCATGCTTTCCTGCAGTGGCTTTGACCTTCTCATGACTTTAAATTCGAATAAATTTCCTGAACTTGAACTGATTGGAATTATTATTATTAGCCTATATATATATATATTTTTTTTTTTTTCAAGAAATTTATATAGTCTAAGTGTGATGAGAATTAGGAGAGGTGAGTAGCCATAGGAGATTAGAGGTTTAGAGAGGGATACAATGATTTACATTTGTTTTGATTTGGTTTAAAGGAGTGTGTGGAGAGTGTGAGAACTTCAAATTGAGTCACCGCAACGTGTAGGCTACTGACAGCGGCGTGCGTGCGCGTGCGTGCGTGATGCACTACAGACTCCCTCTGCTGTCCTGCTGGAATCTTCAGCAAACACGGAAGAAGCGGGACAACGCAGTGGTAAATGCCAAATAATGGTCTGGATAACACAATTGTAGATATCAACAGCGAGGCAGATCCACAGAATCCAGTCCTGTGCGCTGAGCTTCGGCAGGGATGTGAGGCTTACAGCGCTCTATAGCGCGGCTCTATTTCTACTGGATCAGCACATACTCTCTATAGGTATGCGGTATCAAGTGTGAGGGTTATTTTTGTACTTCTGTCAATTCTGCTGGTTTTCGCGCTGGAAGAACTTTGTGACCGAGCAGAGTTGGTATTGATTAATTTTGACCTGAAAGACCTGCGCATAGATGCGTTTTGGAAAGGACTTGATCACACGGGAATCTCAATGGGAGGTAAAATATAGCCTAGTATTTGCATGTGGAGTTAAAATCGCAAGCAAATGTTAAGTAATCGTAATCGTATGGGAGCGTGTTCTCGCCGAAGTTACAGGCAACTCTGCCTTTTTCTTGTATTTGTTGGGCTACAAGCTATAGTTTTAGAACATAAATCATATTTATTCTCTCGAGCATGTACAGGAAAATGCTTAATTTTTCCGCCAGTGATGAATTTAATGTGGAGGGTCTCTCCGATGGCCAGAGGAGCACGGGGTGCCCTGCCATGATGACATTGGGCTGCTGCCATGTGAAATAGGGAGTTTTTCTGTTACCCGACTCTTCTTCAATAACTAAAATATAGTGTATTTTTTACACTTTATTTTTTTTTACACATAATTAAATGTGATCTGTAAAGGGGTGTAATGACTTTAAAACGTGCCTGTAGTAAATTGTAGGCTACTTTGCACATAACAGCTTTGAACAGAGGTTATGGCAGGCAGACCATGCCTCCACAACAGAGCTGCCTTTTTAAAATTCTAATTCAATTTCTGTTCTTTTAAAGGTACTGTAAAATAAGTGTAACTGTGATCACATGTGCCTCGTAAGCTAGCGACGTTGCTGAATCCCTTTCAAAGTTTTATTGTGTTTGAACTATTAAATCGAACTGTAGTATAGAGCTCTGTTCACTTTGTCAGATAGTCTTCTGGTTTATTCTTGATTTAGGGTTGATATGTTCCAATTCATTCTGATGTTTTTCCAATATTTTTTGGACAGAATGTTGAGTAGGCTATGTTATTGTCCTGAGAATGTTTTACCAAGTAATTTCTGTTGTAAATGCAAATTTTATAGGTATACCTCACCACCATTAACTGCAATTGGTTTGATGAATGCTTTGAATAACTGGAGCCAGATTCTTGCCAAAGAAATACAGCCCATTGTAGACCAAGGTTGATTAAGTAACTTAATGTGTTTCTGTTTGATAACAAACATTTGTGAGATCTGGGCAGTTTTTCAAAGATCATGACATTGATGTTTTTATAGTTAATAATAGTCACTGACAATAACTCTCTGTTAAAAAAAAATCCAAAAGCTGTTTTTGTGTCTGTGTGTTCTCTCCATTGTCTAACAAACAGAGCGTCTGTTGAAGGGCTTGCTAAGCAGAGCGCCTCATTTATGCTTTCTAGCAACATTGTTCACTTCTGCTCTAAAACTAATAAATAACCTCAGGCCTTCAGAAGAGAGGCATAGTTCATTTTCACATTGTAAAATTTCTTATTTTTTAACATGACTGGGTAAAATTATGGGATACATTATATTCTCTGGAATCCGGACTCTCTGGAAATTTTTAATATCTATGATTGGACTGTTGTAAACACAGAGATATCGGAATACTATATAAGCCATTCACACTTCCTGACACTTCTCTGCGAGTCTGAACAGGTCTCGCCTGATTCCTTCTCTGGAAATTTCAGTTATTTAGTAGTGGTTTGATTAGAGCCTTTCTGAGATCCAACGTTGTTATGTAAAGAGCAGTTGTGCTTATGTTGACCGGACCCCCTTTTGCCACTTTTGCTTAAAGGGATAGTTCAGTTTGAAATTAATTTTTGATATGTTTTAGCTTACCTCAAGGGCATCTTTGTTTCCACAGTATTTTCAATTTTGATATTTTTAGGTCAAACCCAAGTGGCAACATTCTAATCTGTAAAATGAAGCCTTCCCGGAAGTGCAAAAAACTGCAATACATCTAAAATCCGCTAGAGGGAGGTCCCAGAAGGGAGCTAATCTTCATAGACCCCATGTTAAAATGTCCGTTTTCACAACATAAATTCATGCTTTTACAGGTTGGTCCCATGGACTTTTATTGTATTTTCGGATAGGTTCCGAGTGCCTGACAACTGTGAGGGCGGTGATTTTTTTTCTAACTCGTTAGTTTAGATAGATATAAAATGTATGACAAATAAGGGCAGTTAACTTTAATTGACAGGTGATAACAGGCTGCGCCGAGTGGAGTTTGACGTCTCGGCCATGATCTAACACAACACATCATACCACCTCTGTATCCTTTCTGAACATTTGTATTTCTCAAGATTTTCTAATACGGCGCCATCCATACCCCCCATAAACAGCCTCAAAACTGCTCTTCAGAAAGTCAATGAGTGACGTCACAGACGCTTTGTCCATATTTTTTACAGTCTATGGTCAAACCGTTCTTGTCTGTCAGGCATGCAGGTTCACCTCAAAGAGAATGCACAGAGAAGTCCAAATTAAACATGATTAAACATGATCTAATGACTCGTAAATGTAAGTACACACTGATGGACATGAAACGAGCGGTTTGTGTGAGAAAACAAACAGTATTTATATCGTTTTTACCTCTTGTAATCACAGTCACGTCCAAGTACTCTGAGGGCGAAGTGACCTCTTGCGCGTGTTTGTTTACACAGAGATTTCAGAAGTGTTACCCTTCACTGTGAAGATCTAAATTTAGATATACAGGAAATTGCAATGGAAGACGATTTCAATATATCAACAGACAACGTTGATTTTTTTTCCAGCGCTTACGCAGAGAGAAGCGCCCTCGCTTGTGTATGTAGTTCTTTTGAAATTGTTTTCATCCAAACAACTTTATATAAACATACTTTATTTTTACCACGAATATAGCCTTATGTTGTGTAAAAGAAATCGTTGCCGCGCATTACAATAATTTAATTATTAAAAGTTGATTGTTACGTGACTGCACATTAAATTATCACTGCCTCACGAGTCAGGTCAATGTATAGGTTTGTCGATGAATTATCGACAAACGATACTCTTCCGCTTCTCCGTGGGAGCTCAACAAGACCACGCCCCCTTTTTTGTGTATTCCTGTGGGCGGAGATTAGTCAAAAACTGTTCTAATTACATCATTAAAAAAGAAGGTAGAGGTATGTAGTCCAAACCGGGCGTTCGCTGTAGGCCGTGAAAGGGGACTTCTGTTAAATAAAATATCTCGCTAGGCATTGAACTTTGAGCTTTATAATTTTACAGGTATTGTTTATGCTTTAACAGCAACATTACACACTATCTAAAGTTTGAAAAAAGGAATTGCAAAGAACAGTATCTTTAATGGATCACTCTATTGTTTGGTTTGTTCAGGGCTAGAACTGATGTTCTAATTGCTCTCTGACTCCCATGGTTCATTATCTTGCTTAGTTTAGTGAGTGCACACACATGTACACATTTACCATTCACACGATCAAACTGGAATAGCCACATGTTTGAATGAAGCACATACAGCACTATGTTGATTAAATCTGTTAGGCAAGGCACACAACACTCAATTCAAATGACACATCTATATAGGATCAGTATTTGGGAAATGATCTGTTAACAAACTGTAGTTTATTCCCTAGAACATTTCAGAGCCTCTCTGACTTTAGCTGTGTCACTTATGCAACAGTGTGGTGGAGGTTCCCACACTTGAGATGGAAACACTGGCCTTTGTTTTTTGATCGGAGTGTGTGCCAGTTGAGCTAACCTTGATAAAAGTCAAGGTTGAAGGAAATACACTCACACACACCAGGATATAGTTAACTGATTCAACTGCAGAAGTATGATGTAATGCCAAAGGCATGCGTTACGAGTCGTGCTCTAGACTAGAGTCCCTGACGTATTGTCACACACATACAGGTCTTAGGGTCTGTTAAACCTTTCAGCATACAAAGAAACACAATCATGCACTCAAAAATTCCCATTATACCGCTGATAAAAAGCAAATGCCAAGCAAGCAAGCAAAATGATCAAATTTATGGGGCAAATTTTAAAATGTCTTCGAAAAAAGTATATTATGTTTACTAAAGCTGCATTTATTTGATCTAAAATGCGGTTAAATCATAAATATTTTAAAATATGATAACAATTTAAAATAACTGTTTTCTGTTTTAGTCCCCATGTAGTCAATAATTCGCCATCTCAGAGTCAGACAGCAGCCTTCGTAAAATCAGAATTCTTGGAAACTCTTTGAACAACTTAGAACGTCAATGGAGAAAGGCATATAGTTCATCATAAAATTGTAAATATGCATCATAATCGTAAAAATAATTCACCAGCTATATTGCTATATTTTATTGAGGGATAACTGGAGACTCCTCTGCTTCGATTAGTAATGATGAAATGCTAAAGCCCACCAATTTTTGAGATTATCTTTGGTTCACTGCAGTTTTAAAGGGATACTCCACTTTTTTTTTGGAAATAGGCTCATTTTATAACTCCCCCAGCCCAGAGTTAAACAGTTGAGTTTTACCGTTTTCGAATCCACTCAGCCGATTTTCTGATATTTAGAAGAATATCAGTAAAAAGACAGTTTCTGGTCTCATTGACTTCTATAGTAGGAAAAAAATATACTGTTTAACTCTGGGGGAGTTGTAAAATGAGCCTATTTCCAAAAAAAGTGGAGTATCCCTTTAAGGAGAAAATACTAAGCAAGGAGAAAATACTCAGCAGCAATGGTGTTGACTGATGAATTTGCACATAATTTGTCTTAAAGGATATTAAAAACCACACAGACATATAAACAACACAAAAAACTTGTGTGTAAAACAAGGAGACTTTAATAGATTCCAAAATGTATTCTTGCAAAGGGAAAGTCTATTATTAAATCAATGCTTTGTGTTGAGTTATTATGTGATACAGCAGTGGTTCTTGATCTTGGTATGTGGGAGCCCCTGCTTAGCACATTTTATATCTCCTTTATCTGACACACCCACTTCAGTTAATAAAGCTCTTTCCTAACAACCTGTGATCTGAATCAGGTGTGTTAAATGAGGGCAGACATACAAACTGTGCAGAGCTGTGGCTCCCCAGGACCAGGATTGAGAACCATTGCACTACAGTATGTGCTAAACACTCTTTCTCTTTCTCTCCAAACTGCAGGCAGACTGGACTGGCAGTGCCTATAAGGATATCAGAATTGACAGACTGTCTTTCTCCATGTGGCCTGCCGAAGCGCATTCTGGGCATTATATATGAAGAGACACTCTGAACCAATTAAGAATTTTTCATGAGAAAGAAATAAAAAAACTCAACTCTGTCCAGTTGGATTAAATTTGAATGCTAAGTGCATTGTGATTTTTTTTCAGTCCATTTATTCTCTTCCCCTTACCTCTTGCCCATTCACCCTGCTGCAAGTTCTGTCTCTCTGTTGTGCTGGAGGACGCAGTGGCTCAGACATGTCGGCCAAGGCTCCCATATACCTTAAGCGACGAAGCCGTAAAGGAAAGAAGGAAAAGCTGCGTGACCTTCTTTCATCCGACATGATCAGTCCTCCGCTGGGAGACTTCAGACACACCATCCACATTGGAAGTGGAGGAGGTGCCGACGATCTTTTCGGTGACCTGTCTTTCCTACAAGGTAAATTTCACCTGTTACCGGGTCAGCAAAGTCATCAAGAGTCCTTCCAACTAAGTCGCACGGCAAGTGTAAGCAGTCACCCGCCAGCCAGCGAGAGCTCGCCTCTGCTGAAAAATGCCCTGTCGCTGCCTATCATTGGAGGGGTGCAGGCGCTCACACTTCCGCCTGTGACCTCAGCAGGAACGGTGAATGCTGAGATCCCAACAGCCCCGATAACAACCCAATCGCCCCCAACATCTCCGTCTCTCGCTCCACCTCCCAAACCTCCCAGACTGCACCTGGAAGAGAGGAACTTGTCACCACATACATCGCTTCGGCATACATCTCCAGACCGCTATCCACTTAATTTGCACACATTTGGGCAGAGTCCAGAGGAAGATGAGAAATTTGTGAAGGATGGGGGAGAAATGCCGTATTTGTCCAACGCCGGCTCTATGCTTTCCCTCCATCTTGACTTGGGGCCATCCATCCTAGAGGATGTGCTTCAGATCATGGACAATGAGAGAACAGGGACGTTCAGTGGCCAACTTACACCCAGTGGACGACAAGAGATATATACCTGAAAGTGAACAGAGAAGCGGGTCAAAGCTTGATGATACATAATTGAGCTAATCACATTTTTCTCCATGCATCAAAACATTTGTCCATCTGAGAGAACTCATTTAGCTGCTGTACAATGGCATTTCCTGGAGACTTTGTCCTTTTTTTTTTTTTTTTGCTTATTATGCATTTAATCTTTGGAAAAGACCTTTGGAAACTACATGATTTGAACCAATCAAAATTGAATCGGTTTCATCATTGGATTTCTCTGTTGTTTAAATGGATGGTTTTAATTCATTTTTGTTATTTTTGGACTACAATGTAACAATTCTGTCTTTAGATTTACTCTTAGATACATTTAATCTGAAAGCATTTTAGTAAGCACATCTCAAACTTACCTGCATTGAGTGTAGAGTATGTACTATTACAGGGCAACATCCTACATGCCTCCTGGATACACTACAGGAAAAGAAAAACTGACATTTTCCTCTTTCAGAGCAGCGATGACATCATCTCCCCCCTCTGTGTTGTTGCAATTTGTGTAATCGGGTAAAAATGCGCAGCTCCTCCCTAATGATCTGGACACGCACACGCGCCAGGAGGCCTGTGTGTCTACACCCTGGGATTTTAACGTTCTCTTTTTTTATGGGGAGTAGTTCTTCATTGTTCAGAAACAGAAACCCAATGGCTAGCTTTTCACTGAGCAGGAATATGGAATGTTTTTTTTTTTTTTGTCATAAAATACTCATTTTTTCTGTGTTTGGTTGTTGTTGAGGTGTCTGCGATCCCTCAGGCATTGACAGATGATCACTTTTCATGCAGCAGTGGTGTTTCCTTTCTCCGATTGAGCGTGAGCGATGGGGCCAAAAGAGGGGCTTGTGTTACCTTGGTATCCCCCATGTAACCCACCCCACAGGGGTTGTGAATGCTCTATGCTTTCCACTCACAGATTTTGACTGCAGTATTATTTTCTTGTTGAATTAAAATGAATAACTCTTTACTTTTTTCTAACTTACCTTGCAAAAAGTGCATCAAACTGTCAACAAGGTGGGCTTAAAAGAACAAATACTAACAGAAACAGTCATATAGCAATCAGCGTTTTGTGATGCTACCTTTGCACTGTAACATCACTAAGAAAACCTATTATATTCATTTAAACTCATCAGTTCTCATATTTAAAGGTACACTATGTAACTTTTGATGCTATAGCGTTTAATAAACAAAAATGCATTTATCTTGAGGCATCCAGAGCTACTTGTATATGTTTGCAGCAGTTGCCCCCCCCAGTCTGAAATAGTCCAAAAATAAACACTTATTCTAGGCTTACTGTACCATACTCGCTCATTATATACATTTTGAATAAAAAAGTTACATAGTGTACCTTTAAATAATTCTATTTGAGATGTGAAACAATGTAATTTTTTTTGTTTTGTTCTAAGTAGCTATTGTTTCTGACACTGTGTCTATACCGTTGTTGTCACTCCGCTAGAAGCTCTCCGCAGTGGACAATTACAAATCCATTTGTCCTTTGTAGCAGAAGTAGTGCGAGCACTTGGAGTACATCAGAAATATAAAAAGGCAGCAATTTTTTGTTGGAAATTTGTTGTATCTCGTCACACTGTATAATAATACACTGATTATAATGGGTCCTACTTACACTCAAAAAAATATGTTACACCACTCTACAGTCATTTGAAAGTGATTGCAGTACCAGTTTTGGCCACAATCTTACACACATCTCCTTTAAGGAGATTGAACGCAATCAAATTAAGTTCGGGCGAAATGGCAGTTGGCTCGGACTATACTGCCACCCTCTGGATGTAAGAATTTTTACTTAACATAAATGGTTTGTGTTCAGACAACTGTTAAGTTGAGACATAATAGAGTGCCGAAGTGATGACGTCACTTTGTAGGACAACTTGGAAGCTAGCAGCGCATGGGTTCCCTCGATCGAAAAGCTATGCATTTTCCCCATAGACTTTTCGAAAATTGCTAAAAAATAAGATCTGTGTTCAACAAAGAGTTATGACCTTTACACGTTTTGTCAAGATAATCTTGACAAGTTAATGCAAAATTTATACATTTTGAAGCCTATATAAAGATTTTAAAAAATTCAAGCAGACACAATAAAGTTTAAAAAACACAAGCAGGTTATGTGTTCTATCTATGACATAGATCAAAACGTGAAAATATTTAGAGGCTTCACCACAGACCTTATTTCAGGCGTTTCACTTCCGCGTTTTGGCCTACAAAGTGACGTCGTAACTTTGGCACACTGTTACATAGACCTTAATATAAAAAAAAACACAATTATTATAAGTAAGCTAAATATAAATATATTATGTAAAGTGCACAACCTTCATGTTCATTTTTTAGTGTACTTTTATCGCATTATACCACTTCTGTCTGATGTAAAAATGGTGTCAGAGTATTTAGTGGTTCTTCTTGGTTCCTTTTTTTGTTACTAGTGAATTGTCTTATAATTGTATCCTTACATTGTGAATTCCATTTCCAAAGCTGAATCTGTTTACAAAGTCATAGTTCTGTGCACTTAACTTTGCTGACATACATCTGATCTAAAGACCAATTAAATCCACTAACAGATTAAATCCTATGGTGTACCTTTCTAATTTCAGTATTTATTTTTGTAAGCTTAAAGACTAATTTCATTGCATTATTATTCACATTCTGAACAGGGACCTGACTGTTAGACCAAGAATTATTGATCAAAACTCTTTAGTATTTATTCTGGATTTACTAAAACTTGCCAGTATATTAACTAGACACATCAATTAGCAGTTCTCACAGCCACTTTACTCAAAGGATTTGAAAGAGACAATATGAAAATATCTTACATCAATGTATGTTAGTGGTTTGTGCCACATGTATAACTCATATATGCTCTTTTATTTAATTAAAGGGATAGTTCACTTTGAAATTAATTTTTGATATGTTTTAGCTTACCTCAAGGGCATCCAAGATGTAGGTGTCTTTGTTTCCACAGTATTTTCAATTTTGACATTTTTCAGTCAAACCGTTGTTGTCTATCAGTCATACACTGAAGCCTAAGGGCGTCCACCAAAAAGCATGCACAGAGAAGTCAAAATTAAACATGATTTAATGACTCGTAAATGTAAGTACACACTGATGGCCTAAGACACAAAACAAGCGGTTTTTGTGAAAAAACGAACAGTATTTATATCATTTTTACCTCATGTAATCACAGTGACGTCCAAGTGATCTAAATCAGTTGTGCAACGTCCAACTGAACCGAACTGAATCAGTTTAATGTTACGCCGGAAGTGATCGCTTGCGTGTGACGTCACTCAATATTTTCACGGAGATTTCGGAAGTTTTAGCTTTTACTAAACATATTTAGATATACCGAAATCGTCTTCCATTGCGGTTTCCCATATATCTAAATATGTTTAGTGAAAGGTAAAACTTCCGAAATCTCTGTATAAACAAAGAGTGACGTAGGCACGCCAGCGATCACTTCCGGCACATGCGCAGACCGAAGCGACCGTGCCGTCAGCTCATTTGGTCATGGCTATGATTACAAGAGGTAAAAACGATATAAATACTATTCGTTTTCTCACACAAACCGCTCGTTTCGTGTCTTAGGCCATCAGTGTGTACTTACATTTACGAGTCATTAAATCATGTTTAATTTTGACTTCTCTGTGCATGCTTTTTGGTGGACCCCCTTAGGCTCCAGTGTATGACTGATAGACAACAACGGTTTGACTGAAAAATGTCAAAATTGAAAATACTGTGGAAACAAAGACAATAACATCTTGGATGCCCTTGAGGTAAGCTAAAACATATCAAAAATTAATTTCAAAGTGAACTATCCCTTTAAGACTGACGATCTTATGATTTTGCTTCACTGAAGCACAATTACAACAAGAAAAAAAAAACAATAAGTAAAAGTACAATAGAATTTTAAAGGTTAGACCGTTTAACAAGCAATTGGGTAAATATAGTAGATGTAAATTTAAATGATGCATTGCTAAAAAACACACATGACTTAATAAATATCTCTAAAATAGCATACGGTACTTTTCTACTCCACAGCAAAATACTGTGATCATTCATGTTTACTAATATTAATGCTATTTTTAGTTCATGAAAAATATAAACTTGAATTATTACTCGGAATTTGACGATTAAACTCAAAATTGCATACTGTAAATATATGACATTCCTGACAGATATTTTAATGTAATAATGCATCATGTTTTTCGTCTGAATGGGAAACAGCTGTATATGTTATCTCTATATTGTTGTGTAACGTTGCTGCCTTTCTGTGAAAGTGAATCATTAATAACTTTTTCTACACATCTGAACAGTGTATCTAATGCCTCTAACACCTGTTCAAATTTGCACCAGAGGACATTTTTCTTATTGGGCTTTGTCAGATATACTGTGGATGTTAAGTGGATCTTTGCTGCTGCTGCTGTACACATTACAATAGACTTACAGGATAAAATATAGAGACAGAAACATAATGGTGAATAAATGCTGATTCATGTCTGGCTGTGTTTTTTCTTCTTCTCCATAGGTAAGCCCAAAGGCAGTCAAACAATTGATGCTTTATATGGATTATATGTGAAACTATATAGATGTGTACTGCCTTACCCTGCCCTATTTTGTTGCAACAACTCTTTAGCTAAGACTAGAATTTATTATGTGTGAGAGAATGAGCAGAATTGCAGGTCAGTGCATGTACGAATCTGGTATTACTGCACTTACCTGTGAGACACTTTTTTTCATCGCAAGTCTCAGCATGCATGCCTCTATTACTTGAATCTGTTTTGAATACAAGCAAAGTCTTGAATTTGCAATTTTGAGCCTTCTTTGTGGCTAGGAGCCAGCCTTGTGGTTTTGTGTGTTCAAGGCACTTTTAAGAGTTTGAGAGTGTGTGTCTGTGTACTCTTGTTTATTTGCAGTAGCTCCTCTATTTTTTGCACAGGCCCTGGGAATCCTTCCAACTGGCTTTATTAACACAGAGTAGCCCGAGTCCCTGACCTTACGATCACAATACCATGGGAACACCAGCTAGAAAGAGGGGAGTTGGAAGAGTAGGAGGAAGGGAGTATAAGGAAAAGAGTTGAGGGAAGGTGAACACGGGCCAGGATGAAGGAAAAGAGGAAGTGAAGAATTGCAGATGAGCAGATATATCAGAAAGGAGACCATAGATCACAGTCTATGATTCATTCATTTGACAAAACGCATTGTTGCACTTTCGTACACATTACGTTAAAGAAAAAGAGGGTGAGGCTCCAACAAACAACTCTCATAAACAGTGGATCTGAATTCTGAGTGTTGTAAATCTTTAGGAACTAATGTTTCACAGAATAGCTATTGGGCCATGCATGCTAATTTAGGCTTATGAACACTACAATCGAGCTCGGATCCGCAGATCGCCTGGATGAAGTGGTCTTGGCCCTGATGAAAATGAACTCAGATCATTTCAGGTGAGAAAGCAATTTGACCCAATGGACTAAGAAACCAAGCAGTATCAAATTCATAACAGTAAATGTGTTGTATAAAAAACAGCAAAAATCAGGCTTGACTTATATATGTATGATATTTAGTGAAATATTAAATTATTAGAGTTCAGTTATCTCAGCAAGATTGTGCAGGTAATGTAGGGGACAGATAGGCTTGTGTCTTCCAATATTCCTCAAATACAAAAGTGCATATTCATGGACAATCTTAGGGCAAAAGACTCGTGATTTGTTGTGCATGAAGTTACATTACAGATAAAGCATTTGTGGATTGTGAGCAAAGACACTAATGACAATAATGTAATCGTTTGTAGATTGGTGTGCACGAGTGTGGCTCTCTTGCATGCAATTTTGGGAGGTTTTGATTCTGTTTTTCACCCTATAGTTTTCAATGTACAGGGCGTGTATGTGCGTCTTTGTGTGATCTCTCTAGGAGGGAATTACAGCCCTAATATCATAACCCCTGCTCTAATGTGTTCCTTTCCTCACTCCCATACTAACAGAATGTAACAAATAATAACCACCCAGGCAGCTTCTGCGAAATGCACACGCGTATAAAAACATTTCCATGGAATATTCTGAAAGTGCTCTGAGGAAGGGAGGGAGGATACTGAAAAGTATTCACAATGTGCTCTGTTACTTCAGTGCAGCCTTTGTGAACGTGTCAAAAGCTTTGCTATGTGTGTGGCTACTATTCACAACCTGTCAGTTGTTATTGAGCAAGACGAATCAGACTTTTTTTTACCCAGACTGCTGGGTTATGCCTGTTTCTTGGGTTATTTTCAAAGTGTTGGGTAGTTTTGTTGGGTTATATGTTTCACTGATGGTAGAAATTATGCACCTCTTCACAAACTCCCCAGCTTGTCGGATCATAGTATCTCACTGCTGGTTTGAAATTCAAAACTGGATCGGTTTGTCATCGTCATTTTGTCTCTTGTCCTGAGAGAAAATGTCCGGAGTTGATCTTTGTGAATAATTCAACCAAAAATGAGAATCCTGTTGTGCAAAAAAATAATTAAAGGTGTGTACTTTTTGTATGCTTGTGGGCCTACCTGTCACTTTTTCACTTGCAGGTGTACTGTTTTGAACATAACTGTCTCAAGTTCAACCCTGTTGTGAAACAACCATCTCTTTATAATTTGTTTGTATGGCATTGTGCAACGTTTTTGAATCTCTATATACTATATAAATAAAGTTTACTGAATCTCAGAATGACCTGAATATCTAAAATATAACAAAGCTATATTTCAAAGTAAAACAAATTTTCTAAATTGCATAAATGTCAACCTTAGAACAACAACTAGGCCTACGACATGACAATAAAGCCTATTTAAAAAAATCAACATCAGGATTTCCTACAATTGGTGAATTCAGAATTACAAACGTGATTTACGTATGCCTATGGTGGATTTAACTAATTCTGACATCCTTTCTGACCATATCCTTTGAGCAAAAAGCAGCTGAGAGATTGGCTCAGACGTCATTGGCTGCGTCCAAAATGCTGAATTCATCATGACGCGTCCTCACCTCCTGTCGAAATAGCCTAGGCCTTAAGGTATGACATTTGAGTAATGTTTACAATTATGTTAAGTTTATATATGAAGTCACCTGAAATATCCTCCTTCACTGCCGTTGTTCGGTATGGGAAAACCCAGACAACTTCCGGCAAATTTAGATTACAACTGAGAATGGTTTGGTTTAAGCAGGCTAGTTGTTAGGATGAAGTTTTTTGTGTAAATGTACTTTTTTTGGACAACTTTTTCTAATTCTGATGTCATTTCTAGCGATAAATGATTATTGTTGCAGTTTATTGTTTGTTTAGTTATCACCACAACTCCCTCTATTTTTGCTGTAGATCATTAAACCTTAGCGCTGTCTCAGAAGTCTGCGAGGCACCAAGTTCTGAAATGGTCACGTCACTGCACTGCAGTCAAATGACGTCCAGCTCCACCTCCTGGTCTCGTCAGATTGACCACTAGTGCCACATCGTGTCCATCCGTGAACACTACAACACTAAAAGAGTTGGAATAATATAATGGGTTTGGTTCTTTCTTATTGAAGTTAAAATTCCGCCTGTTACACGTGTAGAACACGTATATTCCTAATATATGATTTTTTTATAAGTTATTCATTTTTCAGTCGAAACACCCCTTGGTTAATTCATGAACGATGCGATCGATTTGGATCTTCTCAATATGATCTAGTTTACAAAGAGCTTGTCTGAGTTTATTATTAAATGTAAGACAAAAAAATGTTTTCGGACATGAATATGTTGATGTCATCTTTTCTTTAGTCATTTAGACATGTTATTGTACTGTAGCCTACTGTAAGAACCATAGAGGTAAGAACCCAAATCTCTGCCTTCACGCGCGCGCCTCCTAAACGCCCATGACCCGTGACCTTCCTCTAAGGTCCTTCATTCAGCGCAAGCGCAGATCACCCGCTGTAGCAGCTCAGTAGAGCCAAGATGGCGGCGGTGGTAGAGAATGTTGTCAAGCTGTGAGTATTTTCATATTTATTTAACTACATATGAGCTTTTCATGTTGAAAATTTGATGTGTAACTGAAGTAAAAATGCAACGCGATGGGCAGTTCTGTTATTTGCTGAAATAGAGCTTAGATACACGTGTTTGACAAGGTTATCCGAGCTCTGGTTAAGTTAGCTGTACTAGCAGCTGCTGTGTCCCGCTGAGGTGAATGCTTCATTTAGCTTCCGTCTTTCAGCATGACCAGGGAGCAACGCATGTAGGAGGCTTTCTCTGTTCCTCTAATGAGTGTGCTAATGACATTGTGTCATAAAGTTTTGCGGGAACCATGTTAAGCGATCAAATGTGTGTTTCAGTTGTTTGTCAGTGCTGTGGTTGGTTATTTTGGTCTTTTTAGTCTCTGTTGTGAAAGCACTAACGTTAGTTGTTTTAAGTTATTTGATTTCACCTGTCATATGTGGGTCTGAACATAAAATACTGATTTATACCACTTATTTTGAAGCAGGTTAACGTTACATTTATCAGATCCTTTCATATAATATTGTTTTAATAACCAAATATATTGTTCTGACTGAAATTATTTTTAATAAGTAGCTTTTTAAAGGAAGGGAAGGGAGTTATTCGCGATGGTTTCAGGCGATGCCGATAATTGCGAATAATTAAATATAATCAAATATTATCCTTAAATTGTATGCAAGTTGTAACTGCTGCGTAACACGTTCGTTGTGTCTGCTTAACTGAGTACGTACACAACTTGTGTTGTCTTTTAGCTGTATATTACTGCCATATGGACTTTACGTTGACAACTCATCTCTTACTGATAAAATAATTTTTACTAAATTATTGAATTGAATTAAACTTGATTTAGTAACCTCAAACCTGAGTTTGACATCCCTGGTAACTCCTGGAATCACATTTCATTATTCAATCCTAAATGTGTTTAGGACTCTGTAGCCAAATCCACAACATTCAGTGAAGAGATCAGAAAGGTGGATTCACACATCCAACCACAACATTTGGTAGGCTACTAATATCATTAAAGGTGTTCAGATCTGTCAAAATCTGTAAGGGTACGTACGAGTACTCAGACTTGACCGTGACGATCGATCATGTAACAATGATCGCCCTGACTTTAAAAAAGATATTAGTCTATTTTTCTGATTGGTTATTGTGGCATTTTTTGCGGTACCGGAGATTTGATTGGCTAGCGTTAGCCAGCACGCCTCCTAAACCAGTAAAGTGAAACTGGTTTTGAAAGGCAGTCAGTGATGCTTGGAATCTCTTTGATCATGAAATAGTTAAGTGCAAGACGTGCATCACTTTGGTCATCAATAAAATTAAAGCTGCAAGCAGTGATGAAAGGGCCCTCAAACTTGTGGCACCGCCACCCTCAGAAAAGCGATTCATTTGGGAAAAAATTATAATAATAAGCGTAACAGAAACAATAAGGTCCTCTCACCATCGGTGCCCAAGCCCTAATTAAGTGCAAGATGTGCAGCGCCACATACATGCCATATACATCGCATCAAAATGAGAACAGGATTGTAATAGAATGTTGTAAAATCCTTGTGTTTTAGTTGCTCGTGCAGTGCTGTGGTTAAGGGAAGAGCGAATCGACAATGGGGGATTACCCATTCAAACTAGCACTGTCAAGTTCACGTGCACATTCGCGTCCTTTTGTGGAGATGTAGCCTAAGTTGTAATGGGTATAGATCAGATTAATCTAATATAGGATACGTTTGGTTTATTGACCCTCTAATCTCTGAAGGGTTATGTTTATTCACAGTTTTAGCACAAATACAATGCCTGATATTATTGACTGGGAAAAAACATTGCATCATAATCTATCAGTTCTTTTTTTCTAGTCGTATGTTCATGTTTTCATAGACATGTTTTCCTGTCATATTTTTATTTGTCAACATTAATTTTCGTAACAGTCTTAAAATATTTTCATTATCTTCATGACGGACAACTGCTCTCTCTGGTAGGTAGCGCAAATGCAGATTTGAATGTGAATGTTCTTTGTGAATGTGATCATAAACCTTGTAAAAGGTTTAATAGACTTGGTGATTGTGAATAATTGTAATTTAGGAGTAAGATTGCATTTGAATCGAGATCTTGGATCTGTTAAAGATTAATCGTGCAGCCCTAGCAGATGCATACTTCATGGCTGGTTCTTAGGTTTCTATGAAATTAGATTTTTAATATTTTAACTGGTTAATGGGTGAATAGGCAGTCATTTGATGTTATTTAGGATGAAGCATTAATGTTTACACTACCAATTCAGTGTGGTCACATTTCTGATTCATTGGTTCACAAAACACTGGACCCCATTTACGCCTGTATTTAGTGCTGCTGACAAGGTGATCTTAATAGCAGGTATTAACGTTGTCCGAGTTGCTGGTTTGTGGAATATAAGTGCCTTTTGAAGCTGTAGCTCTGTGATTTGGTGTCTTGGAGGCAGGCAATCATCCCAGGGCTGTTTTGTTGTCTGGGCTCTAAACCCCTCAGAGCTCTTGGTTCTAACAAGGCAAAGCTTTAAGCTTTTGTTTCATCCTCTGTGACATCAACGCCCGTCTGTGCTCTAATCTCACAGGCTTTAGCTGGCCTGTGCTCTCTCTCCGGGGCTCTTAGCGGTTGCCGGGGTGACGGGCGGGATCGGCACCTGCTAAGTGGCTGGAGTGAGAGAGTTACAATGACTGGGCTGCATGCCTGCAAGACATCCCGCTGCATACAAACAAACACTCACGGGCGGATAAGCTGAACTGGGTTGAGCTGGTTTCAGGGTGGCAGTGGTAGGGTTTGTGTTGTTGAGAGACTATCGCTTTTGCCCAACAGAAGATGACTTTTCTAGACTCTGTGTGAGTTTCGAAAAGGCCCTTCTGGTTGAACTTAGTTTTGGTTCAAGCTGTTGCATTTATTGTCTCTCTTGCTCTGTCTGAAGGCTGGGTGAGCAGTATTACAGGGACGCTATGGAGCAGTGTCACAACTATAATGCCCGTCTGTGCGCAGAGAGGAGCGTGAGGATGCCTTTCCTCGACTCTCAGACAGGTGTCGCCCAGAGCAACTGCTACTTCTGGATGGAGAAACGACACAGGGGACCAGGTGGGACATACTCAGTCACAGAGATCAGTTTACAGAACAGGTTTTCGTTTCTTTTCTCTGCTTTTTCAAGAGTTGTCAAAATACCAAAATTAATTGACCGAAAAAACTGACAAACATCCGGTTTCTTTCTCAACTGTTCACTTATGACATAACTGAGAGAATACTTGCCAGGTATTTGGAAGGTTATTTTGACACAATTTTGTGTGCGTGTGTCCATTCAAGGGCAAGGAAACGCAAGAGAGGAATCAATTCAGTGTTCGAGTGCTATCTGAAACGTACGCCTCTCTCTCTCTTTCTGTACGTGCGCGCGAATCCTGATTTTCTCCTCCTCTTCCCCATTTAAAATGTGTAAATCGGCAAGACGAAACAGAAAACACGCCCAAGTTATAAACTTTCAGTATATGATGGTTAAATTATATTTTAAACAGTAATCTGCGAATCACATGCGTGCTGAACCATGGGGCCTGGTCCATACGGATCAACTGCGATCTTTTGCACCCCTCATTTTGTAACAAATCCTTCCCTCACAGGTCGAAATGACCCAAAGTCTTAAAGTTATACTTCTTATTTTTTACGTTTGCATTTTATTTCATTTTGATATTTTTACTTTTTTATGCAATTTTCTTTTTGAGATTTTCTTTTTGTTTTTTATTTTATTTACCTTTAAAGGTCCCATGACTTGGTGTTATTTTATAATGTTTCTTGGGTTGCCCTTATAATGTTAGTATGTTTTTTAGATAAAAAATAGTCATAATTTAGAAATAAAAGGCATTTTTCTTTGCTTGATTTTTAGCGTCTGATTTGAACGCTCTGTTTGAAGGGATTCAGTGGGACCGGCCACTGCTGTGACTGGCTGACATGCTTGCATATGAATTAGCTACTTATTACATGTGAAACTCTCAAATACTTTTAATACAGCTATTATACGTTTTTACTCTTACAGCTATCGAGATAACGAATAAATATAATATAACGAATCTAGAGAAGTTTTTAAAGTATTTAGATCTATTCCCATCTAGGGATAAGTTGCAATCTTCGAATAGTCGAACTGTGTTCAAAATTCGGTCATAAAATTGCTTTTTCAAATATCATTATATTTTCGGCCAATTCCGATCTAGGACAAACAACAGAAGAAGTGCATTGTCGTGACCGACAGAGGTGGGTAGTAACCTTTACTGTCTATGGTAGTAACTAGGGGTGGAACGGTATATGTATTCGTATTGAACCGAAACGGTACGGGCGTCACGGTTCGGTGCACGAATTTACACGGAGAATACACGGTATAAAAATAAATAAAACTTGCGTGCATATTAATTAATGTAATGCGGAACTACTGTTTAGATACGCTCTTTAGGGACACATAATCTGTACCATCGGCTACCTCTGAACGCTCGTTCACTCGGAGCGTCGAACTAGACACGATAGACGCGATGTTGGAGCTCTATTTGTGTTTGGTGGGACTGCATAATGAACAGGCTGCTATGTCAAGATTGCAATGCTGGAGAGTGTGAGAGAGAGAGAGAGAGAGAGAGAGAGGCACCAGGCGCGATAGAACAGTGGAAACATAAAAACTGTTCTTATATTTGTGTACAGTCGCAATAAAACACCACATTGTGCTTTTGTCACACTGTAAACTCTTTTTGTCATTGTGAGTGTGCTTTTTTTTTCTCCGAACGATAATCCACTTTCGCTCCTCGATTTTCGAATGCCGTTTTTGGCGGAAATTCACATCCCTATTTAGGGCTGTGCCATATCATACCGTCCACGATAATACCGGTATAAAATTTTACATGATAAAAAATTGTCATATCGTGATATTGATGATATGATGACGTATGGCGTATTTACGTTACTTAGCGCGTGCACAACAACACAGCAGCATGTCAGCCTCCGGATCAGATCAAGATTTAGTTCCTAAAAAGGGCGCTACTTCAATAGTATGGAAGTTGTTTGAGTACATGAGGTCAGATCTCCAACAACACAATTATTATTATTTTTTTGTCAAATATGCATTAAACTCGTTTCACCACTTCCCTACTAGCGTACATTTTGCATTCGCCTAATCTTCCTTCAGAGTTTCCGCAGTTCGGGTACAACAGTAAACACGATTAAACTCTTTCTAAGATGATTCAATGTTACTATTATTATATTTGTAAATAAAAGGTCTATGGTTTCGCATAACACAACTTTATCTTGCTGGACTTTATTGCTGTAACGTTAACTAAATCATCATGTTACTTTCTACCGGCCGGGTGTCTGTTAGAGCAAAACACTAGAGTCAGAGCACTATTGTTCATCACGCGCACAGTAACTGAAATGTAAAACTGTTAAAAGAAAGGACTCAATAAACGATTGCATAGCTAGATGCTGTATATTATACACGACGCTACGCATCAATATTTATTTCCTTTGTGCTTTGAATTGTTCAGTGCGCACGCAGTATTCGACGCGCTGCGACTCCGTGTTGCTTCAAGCGCATCATTCAGCGCTCGGGATGCGCATAAGCGCTGTGCGATATATTGGAGCCTTTCATATCATAATACTTTTGCGCAATGAAAGATTATTAATAGCCTTTGTTCTGTCCTATCGATCATATGTTGCTGCCTCATTAAACAGCTGTGCTATACATTTTAAACATGCCTCAATTTTATAGTAGACTACTAGGCTATATAATAATTAATCCTTTTGATTTGTTACCTTGTTTTTTTTTTCATGAATGTACAATACAAAGAGCAATGTGTAAAGTTTTACCAGATTTAGTGTTACAATTGTCTCTTATTTATTCCCCACTAAATGTTTTTTCCCTAAATGTTCCGATTTTATACAATTATTGTATAAATTAGGTATTGTATACCTCATTTGATGCTAATCCAAAAACTATGCAAGGCAACTGTTACATTTTGAAGGTTTGTTTGGATTGCCGCTGTTTGTTTAAATTTTTTGTACTTCAAAGTTTAGGTATATTTTATTAGGTGACAATATTGTGCAGGCTTCCGAAGTTATTGTTAATATTGTTAATGTATTACTGAAGTTATTGTTAAAATAAAATGATAAGTTATGTTATACTTTATTTTTTTGCACTAATGCTACTGCCAGCCAGCTGCAATCACCAATAAAACATTGTTTCATATATATTTTCTATATCGTGATAAATATCATTATCGCAAATATTCTTGAAATATCGTGATATAATTTTTAGGCTATATCGCCCACCCCTATCCCTATTTCCATCACATAAAATGTTGCTGTGATGAGCATTGAGTAAGCAGATGACAGTCTGTTGATCGCGGGAATGAAGATCTTATGATTGTAACGCAGTTTCTGCACTCTCTCTAATGCTTTCACGAATGCAAACACGATGATGTACACAGTAAGAGCTTCGTTGTGCAGTGTAATGTGCGTCATTGATTTCATAATGAGTTGTCCAGATAAACTTGCGCTGTGTGGAAAGATTGTTCTTTGATCGCTTTCTGTATATAATTTGTTCACAATTTAAAAACGATTATTTTCATCTTACTAAAAGAAACGATGTGAAGTTTATATTTTAGTCATTGGCTTGACGTACTGATGCATAAACAGTATTGAATGTTTTTTTGGGAAAGATTACCTGTCTGAACTTTAACAATTAGGCGACACATCAGAAATTGTTGCTTGGGAGTTCGATCGATTTATTTTCCGACATTCATCGAGGCCAGCTCTGTATTGGCCCAAGTTGGGGAAACGGTTGTCGATGAAAAGTTTGGACCAAACAAAACTTTGGGAAGTTGTCGGCGCATTTCCAGAGAAAATAAAATTAACCCATTGTTTCTTCAGTGGTTCGGATAAAGGAACTAAAAAATACTTTTGTGTTCATTTGTACATCCGAACACTGATCAACTGCCATGCTTTGCTCGTGTGCAAGCCATGATATCTACTCAAAATCTCAAATCGTGTTCATGCGGTTGTACTTCCTAGCTCATTTTCTCATGGGCAAGCCAAATTCTCTGGGCGGGCAAAGCAAAGAAAGGGGAGGTTACTTTTCCTTCGTATGGCGTCATATGGAGGAGATTCTAGAATGGCCCGTCTGAGCTTTCATTTTCTCAAAGACAGAGAAAAATAGCCAAAGCTCGGTTTACACCGATTAAAATTTCTAGCCACTGGGGGACCATATTCACAATAGGGGAACTCATTTTTAATGTTAAAAATGGACTTTTAAATTATTAGATTTGATAAATAAATGGTTATTTAGTAATTTAAGCATTATTTCAACTTTTAAATTCAAAATGGCTCACACTTTCATGCATAAACCTTCAGCTCAAAATATCTTACATAGGGTATCTTTGCTGACCTCTTGTGGGAAAAAAAAAAATATAACTAGATGGCCTTATAGCTCTGTTTGGAACAAATGAGCTGTTCCTCTGGGTCCTAAAGTCAGTTTCTTCACTATGCATTTCAGAGACACGTGTATAAAATAATTTTTAGGGCATTTTAGGGTTTTCTATGTGTACTGAAACATCCCTCACATTCCATTCATTCCTATGGGGGTCAAAATGACCCACGAGGGAAGGATTTGTTACTTTTTGAAATTAACCACAAAATGAATCCAGATATATTGAAAAAAGATGATCATAATATATTGATAGCAATTAAAGTACATATTTAAAGTGGATTTAAAAATTACAAAGTTTGGGCAGATCTGATGTAAGCCAGTAGGCTAATCCATAACTTATGGCCAATGACCGTAAAAGGTATGATCACCCGTATTTTTAAGTCTAGTTCTAGGAATCGATAGTAGATCAGAGTCCCCCGATCTGAGTGATCTTGACTGTGTGGGCGGATGTTGTGGTTCAGATAGTTATTGTGGAGCCTGGTTCTGCAAAGACTTGAAAACAAAAAAAACTTTAAAATCAATACTGTATTTAACCGGTAGCCAATGAAACTACGTCAAAACGACCAAAGATCGGTGCAATGTGTTCACTGTTACGTTTGTGATACATCTCAGGGGCACCAATTTTACAAAACAAAATAAAACATAAGAAATCACTGACTTGCATGTGTCTTTCATCTCACTCTCACCTAAGGTGTTGCCCCAGGTCAGCTATACACTTATCCAGCACGTCGCTGGAGAAAGAAGAGGAGAGCTCTCCCTCCAGAGGACCTTCGTCTAGCCTTCCCATCTCTAAAGCCCGGTATGCAGCCACTCTTTTCCTCTGTGAGAGATCGTGTTAATAACAGTGAAGAGATGTTGTTTGTAATCCCCTGTGTGTAGCACGTTCATAGATTTGTGTCTAGGTATTTGTTCATGTAATTTAGATTTCTGTATGTTTTGGTGATATTTCTATCCATCTCTGTGCAGTTGCCTATGGATGTGAATGTGTATGTTTCAGAGCTGGATCTGGGGCTTAAGAAGGACATTTTCTCCAGTGATGGAAGCAGCTTAGAGGCTCTTCTGAAAGGAGAGCCACTGGATAAAAGGTCAGGGTTGGAGCTCCGCACAGGAGAGGAGGAGCCCAGCTCTACAGAGCTCTCCACCGGGGCACTAAACTCCAGCAGCAGGGTCCGAAAGGTACCGAGAACAAGTGATGAATTGGATTTAGGGTGTTTATGTTGAAATCTCACCTTGCATGGTTATTCTCTCTGATTTATTTATGGGTGTGTGTAGAGAATTTTGGAGCCAGATGATTTTCTAGATGATCTTGACGACGAAGATTATGAGGAAGATACTCCGAAGAGAAGGGGAAAAGGCAAGGGAAAGGTGAGATCTTGATCTTCTAAACTTGTGCTTGTAAATATCATGTACACATACATCGTCTATGTCAGGGATGGAGAACGTCTGTCCTGGAGGGCTGCTGTCCTGCAGAGTCAAGCTCCAACCATAAAAAAAAAAAACTCACCTGCTTTATGCCGAATTCACACTGCACGATTTTCAAAGTAGTCGGGTCACTGTTCTATTGGCACTGCAACGACAGGAGTGTTTACAAAAGAAAGAATCGCCAACAACTTCTGTCTGGTCCGAAAACTACATTTCGCAGCCAAATACAGGCGAGAAGTGATAAGGAAATAAAGCAAGGTCACGTGTGACACCGAAATCGTTAATAAAAATTATAGCCTGCTAGAAGATTTGCGATCCTAATTTTCTGTGCGCTGATTTGCAGCGAAAAGGAGAAAACAGATCATGCAGGAGGAAATGGTTGGGGAGACGAGGGGAGCAAGGATTGTGTGTTTTGTAAAGAGAGTTGGGAGTTAATAAATAGTTTTGCAATGTGCTGGTGTTGCTGCTGGTCAAGCAAATATTTCTGTTTGATATAATGGGCTATATTGACAATATATTAAAATAATGATATTCTGGTCTCTAACTCCTCCCTGAACATCCCACTGTCCTGTTGCTTGCTCTCTCATTGGTTGTAGGTCATCGCCGATGTAGTGTTCATTCAGATCGCATTCACACAGCAGGATTTTGAATCACCGACACGTCCACATATTTAACATGCCAAATATCTCACAAAACCTGTCGGCGAGCGAAAATCGGGCCTAAAATCGTTCAGTGTGAACTCTGCATTAGTGATCCTGAAGACATTGATTGCCTTGTTCAGGTGTGGTCGATTAGGGTTGTAACTAAACTCCGCAGGACAGCGGCACTTCAAGGCCGTCGTTCCCCATCTCCTGGCCTATGTTAGGCAAAAGACCTGTAAAAGGTTATAGTTACGATGATCATGGTTACACAGGGTCGTGGTGGTGTCAGCAGCGCTCGGAAGAAGTTGGAAGCAGCAGCAGCTTTGGAAGATCGGGACAGACCGTACGCCTGTGACAGTGAGTCATATACGGCATTCAGGGGAACCACATGACTCAACCCGCTGACCTCTGGGTGATCTCATCTGGAGATCGACTTCTCTTTGCTATAAAAAGGCTGAGCTCTACTGTATCTGACACAGTAAACTTGAGAATCATTTTGCAATCAGCTCGCTCTTGTCTATTCATGAAAGCCAGAAGTACAAAAAAATTGCAAATTATTGAAAACATCTCAAAAAGCCTACTATTCTGTATGTTTTGGTTTACCAATCGCTCATCTAGTTATCTTAATCTTGTAAACCAGGACAATTTATACTTGATGTCCAATTCATTTCTAGTTTCATGTTGTATTTTAATCTCTGCATTTGTGTCTCTTAAATGTGTCATGATACTGTGATGCAAATGTTCTTTGAGTTTATTTCTCCTGATTTTCTGATTCTCGTTTTCAGTCTGAGTCTTTCTGTCTCTTCTTTCTCTTTTTTCTTTCTTCTCTCTTTCAGACACTTTCAAACAAAAGCATATTTCAAAATCTTCCGAAAGAGGTATATTGCTCTCTTTCTCTCTCTTTTTCTGTCTAGTTCTCCTTCCCTGTTTCTCTGTCTATTTCTTCTCCTTCCCCATCCGCTCATGTCTTGGTTTTCCGCTTTCTCTTTATTTTGTGTGCATTGCAAACACGATTTGTGCCTGACAAGAATGTACCGAACTTTTTATTTGAAATTAGGTTGTTGTTTTTTTTGGATTGTCTGCCTGAACAGCGTTAAGTGTGACAGCAGGTTCAGATGAAGACTTTTTCCGCAGTTAATTTATTTCCCCCCTTAACAAGCTGTACTGCCTCCGGGCCAGGTGAAATGTTCAGACACGTCCAAGTGGGTTTTTCTCGGCAGCATGACTCAATATAACTTTCAAGTCTGAGGAGTTACTGAGGAATGATCAGGGACCTACTGATACAATATTACATCACTGTTCATAAGTTGTTGTTTTTTTTAAGTCTCTAGTAAGTCATAAGTCTCTAATGCTAACCAAAGCTGCATTTATTTGATCAAAAATACAGTAAAGTTTTAAAATATCAACAATTTAAAATAACTGTTTGTTTTCTAAATTAATTTATTTTATAATGTATTTTATACTTGCATCATGTCTTCAGTGTCACATGATCCTTTAGAAATCATTGTAATATGCTGATTTAATGCTTAAGACACAGGTCTTGTTATTTTAGATGTTGATATCAATGTAGCCTTTATTTCAAAAAGAAATATTTTGTAATGTAAAAGTCTCACTTTGATCAGTTCAATGCATCCTTGCTGAATAAGTATTCTTTTTTTTTTTAAAAAAGTAACTCGCTTTTGAACTGCAGTGTATGTCTAGGTCACAGTAGAACGTTATTGCAATTTGTTTGTTAGTTAATCAACTGTGATACATTACGATCTTTTACTCATGCGTTTCTCTTTTTTTCTGCATTAGGCTTCTGTTTTTTGCACAATTATTTTCTTAGCTCATTCTGATTTTTGGCCTGAAAAACAAAAAACTGCATAAAATTGATTACTGAACATTTCTCCTGCTACACTTTCTCTTATCTCCTTTCCCCCCTAAAATAGTTCTGGGAACCGGGGGAAACCACAAACCTACCTAAATTGGCTCTTCTTATCACAAAAAAAATCACAATACTTTGAAATATCCCTTCCCTAGTTAATACTTATGTAAATTTCTGCTTTTTATATAACCTGTTCAGCTCTTTACTCTTCATTACTTGTTCTGTGTCGTCTCTGTTTTTATGTTCTCTTCATTGCTGCTTGTAATACTCTTTCTTCTATTCACCTCGAGGTCGCTCCCTGTTTTACTCATTCCTTTTCTGATTAGATTCAAATAGTGCCTCTATTTTTAAGTTGCTTAAGGATTGCTCATTCCTATTTCCCCAAATGTGATGCTTATGGTTTTTAAGGGATAGTTCACTGAAAAGTGACACTCACCATGTCATTCAGACCAAATAACTTTCTAGTGTGCAACAGTAAGGATGTTGTCTAAAGCTGCGGTGCACACTCTACAATTTATAGTAATCCTTTACGATTAGTGCTTGTCCCAGTATCATTTACTATAAGTCATTCCAGACTATGGGATATCAGATGTCATTAAAGCCAGACTATACGGTAATATAAGTTACGAGAGGCTGTGCTGTGTCGTGAATAAGTATTGCAAATAATAAGATTTGCAAAATTTATCTCCAATGGTAAAATCATGGCCAAAATCGTACAGTGTGAACCTGGCTTAACAGAATGACCAAGCTGCTCTACTTCATACAATGAAATTGAGTTTGGGGACTAATCGTATTGAAAAAGGCTACTTGGTTGTATGCAAGCAAATTATCCATTTCATAATTACGTGGCTAAATAAATAACAGAATGATTATTTTGGTGAACTATCGCTGTTGTTTACAGGGTTCCTACGCAGTAAAATTATGGATTTGGAGTCATTTCTAGGTCTGGAAAAGTATGGAAAAAAGAAAACAGAATATGTACAAAAAATTGTGTTCCCAGATTATTGGCCCGATTCAGTTTTCTGAAATATAAAATTAAGAATTAAAAAAAAAATGTATCATACATGCATTGTTTTCATGGCAAAGGTTTAGTGATTTTTGAACACAATTGAATAAATTCAAGGCATACATTTTCATTTTTAAAAGCTCTGCCTTTTAACATTAGCGAGTCTCTTTTGAACTTCACTGATCGAATGTGCATGTACCACTCAAACCAGCAACCGATAAAGGAACAAATGATCTGTCCTTGCTGTTCTTTGTTTGGTGTTCATTCAACATCATACCACGATTATAGTATCAAACTGATGTGTCAGGTGAATATATGCAGGGTATATGCAAGTTTTTTCAGCTTCTTCTCATTTAAAGGTTGTTTCAGTGATTGTGGGTGACGTCACTTCTGTTTGTGTTTGAAGCGAGATCCCAAACAAACCAAGTTAGCTCGCCCGTGCATCACGAAAAACTCACACTAAATCCCTACAATCTGATATTCGCTAGAGCTATCCAAGTTTAGTCGAGCTTCACTCATATTTTTTAAAGAATTTAATATTTTCACACACAGTTCACATATAAAAAAGTCAACACTAGAAAATACTCACCTGTCCAGAAGAAACGGTGCAACCTCGCTGTCCGATTTAAAATTATTCATTTATTTGAGTTCTCTCCACCGTTCAAAAGCCTTCCCGATTATTGCAGATCTCGAAGCCTAGGCTGCCTACAGAGACGTTTTTTTTTTTTTTTTGACAGCCTGCTTATGGGACGGGCAGCTAGCGCATCGTTAGGAAAGATTAGATGAATGTGATCATTTTTGGTCGGGCCTGAAATTGCTGATACACCCTTTAGGCACATCACTTTGAGAAAAAGAGGGAAATTAAGAATGTTTACAGAGGACTGTACTATACCAAATGAAATGCTGAACATAATGCTGCATGATCCATTTTATTTTTAAATCTGGTCTGAAAAATCTACAGAAAGGTTTTTGGAATGAAAATGCATAGGAACCCTGTGTTAAGTGATCTTTTGAGTAAACATTAACATTTGCCGTGATGTTGAAGAATGAGAATTAGTGAAGATCAGGAGAGCCAGGAGCGGTGGAATGATCTCTCAACTGTACATAGGAAGGAAGCATGTGGGCATGATAATGGTGCATGCATGAGAGAGAGCTTTTGGTGTGAAGCAGTCATGCTCCAGTCATGTGCTGAAGAACAGATGATGTTTTGGTGTATATGACCACTGAGGGTGCTTATAACTGTCATTTTGATGTCTGTGTGTGTGTGTGTGTAGTCTGTGGGAAGCGCTATAAGAACAGGCCTGGTCTCAGTTATCATTACGCCCACTCTCACTTGGCCGAGGAGGAGGGGGAGGAGAAAGATGAGATGGATATTCGCGAACCAACTCCACCCCAACAGGATGAACCAAAGAGTAAGCAATTGACCATGCTTTGTTGTTGTACAGACTCTGGTAGCCAAAGAGGCAGAGGCCATTTAACTTTGTCACTTGGGAGTGTCATGAGCTATTTAGTCAATATACAGCCAATAAAACCTATTATAGCTTAAACACTTAACTGGTTGGCAGTGTGGTACACGAGTATTGACAGAATGGCTTTATTTTAAAACCTAGTGTGGTCCATTGCCTGCCATCTTAAGTGGAATGTTGTACATAGCCAGTATCTCATAGTCCCTTCTACAAGGCAGCTAACTAGGTTTTGAGTAGATGTTTTAGCTTCTAGGGACAGTGTTGGGTTATGTAATTTTCAATTAACACTGATCGGTGCGTTTTGAGGTAATGTTGGATATTCTCTGTTCTCTTTCTCTTGGGCAGCTCCAAAAAAGGGCCCAGACGGTTTGGCTCTGCCGAACAACTACTGTGATTTCTGTTTGGGAGATTCCAACCTGAACCAGAAAACTGGCCAATCAGAAGAGCTTGTGTCCTGCTCAGACTGTGGTCGTTCTGGTAAAATAAACACTCACACTTTCTCCTGCTTTTTTAATTTTCTTGACCAAATCGTTAATCAGTTCTTCATTCTCAGGTCACCCTTCATGTCTGCAGTTCACTCCTGTGATGATGGCTGCTGTGAAAACCTATCGCTGGCAGTGCATTGAATGCAAATGCTGTAACATATGTGGAACATCAGAAAATGATGTGAGTTTGTTTATCACTGTGTAGTAGGGGTGTAACGGATCATAGTTTACTTCTGTACCTGAATTGTTAGACCTACCTGAAAAACTTAAAAGCACTTTTTAATTTTATTCATATCTTTGTTATGTTGTATTTATCTTTGCGTATAATTTTTTTTATTTAAAGTTAGGCTTGTAACTTTTGCTGTGGTATTCAAGTAGTCAGTGTTCTGTAAATAATAAATAGAAAGCAAAATTAAACGTAATACACACACTTTTTAATTGTTTTTCAGCTGAGAAACTATCCAATCCATGACTCAAAAACCAAATTTGAACCATGAGTTTTGTGACCATTTTTGAGTTACAAATAAATTTACTTAACCTCCTTAAAACTGCACTATGTAACTTTTGGCACTCTAGTGGTTACTAAACAAAGCTCCTTCTCTGTTTGTCTATGACGAGGCACGCAGCTCCTGGGCTACTCGACAGTGGTCTAAAATAGTCTGAATAAAAACACTTAAAGGTATACCGCATTGATTCAGGATAAGACAAAACATGGTTTGTTAATGCATTCATGATGTACTCGCTAAAAAAGTTACATAGTGCAGCTTTAAGGAAAACTAGTCTTGTGTCAAAATTGTTCGCTCCCTCGGTTTATGATGCCTATTTGGATTCTCAATAATGTCGTATGTTTTTTTTCACAGGACCAGCTATTGTTCTGTGATGATTGTGACCGAGGTTATCATATGTACTGCCTCTCGCCCCCCATGTCTGAACCTCCTGAAGGTAAAGCAACATGCACCAATGGCTCACACACTCATACACTGCTGTTTAAGTTTGGGGTGTGTGAGATTTCAAAAATAACAGTAAAAGATTTATAATATTTCAAATGATTTCTATTTCCAATAAACAATAATAATAATAAGAAGAAGAAATGTTTGTCAAGCATCAAATCAGTGTGATTTGATTTCTTGTGACACATGATTTCTACAGCAGTTATGGCTGCTGTAAATACAGATTTATTATCACAGGAATACATTAGATGTTAAAATATACTTAAAATTGTATTTAGTATTTTACAATAATACAGTTTTTGCTGTGTAAATGCACCGTAAAGGACTTTTTAAAAAACCTTACTTGCCATTCATTTTTGAATAAAAGTGTATACTCAAAGCACATAGAATTGACTTGCATACTGTTAAATCACAGATTTGTGCTTTGCTTTACAGGAAGCTGGAGTTGTCATCTGTGTTTGGCCCTCTTGAAAGAAAAGGCCTCCATATACCAGAATCAGAATGCTCCGCCCTTGTGATGGTCCTTTGGGAAAAACAGATCCTCGATCACATAGTTCCTGCCAAGATTTGTTTGTTTGATTTAAGCAAACAAAATAGGTGGAACAGAAGTTGTAGTGGAACAGAAAAGGGACGACCACCTCGGCCAGGACCTCAGACACAAATAGCGGGAGAGAAAGAGAGGGAGTGAGGAAAAATTGGCCTCCTTTTCTTATTCCTCATTTACATCTCAGCAGGTTTGATCTCAGTATGACTGTTACACAGTTCCAAGTTTCAAACTACCCCTGCTCTTTGTTTTCAACTATTGGCCCCCCACAACGAACACAATATCGCCATACCAAACACAAACTCTCCTGACCCTTTCAGCAGTACATACTTGGAAGAAGTCACTATGAGAAAATTATGACTCTGTTTTGGAGTTTCTGCTCATATTAGACCTGATATGTCCACCTGTTTCCGCAGACATTGTTTAACAGAAAACAAATGATAAAACGCAGCTTATATCAGCCAAAATAAATATCGCATACTCGGCCATATTTAAAATACTCTGACAAGATGTGCTTATCATGGGGAGGAATAGTTGAAACCAATCAGCATGCCAATGCTTGTTCATAATAAGCGAAAAAAAGAACAGAAACTATGTGTTTTTGTATATTTATATATTTGTATAGCATATAAAGGTGTGTTGTATTTAAGATCTTTAACAATAGAAATGGTTCATTATTATGGTGGGAGTTGCTTGGGGATTTTTGCCCCCTGTAATGATAGTGTCTACATAAGCACAGAGTCTAGCAGTCGGTGTGTGAGCTCTTTACTAACTAATGGGTTAATGGTGCAGGTAAAGTTAATGATTTTAAATTATATTTTTATATTGTTATTATTTTTGTTGCTTTTTTTTAGGGTGCTCTTAAGGTGTTCAGAAAGCTGTTAAAATTTAGTGAAAGATGGTTATTTAAGATGTCGGGTAAAGCAATGAGAAAGAGAAAGTCCAGTTTAAAAGAACGTCCAGAAAATCTAATAATTGTTTGCAGTTAATTGAGGCGTAGTTAGAGTAATGTATTACATACCACGCTGAAATCAGTTTGTCAATGTTTAATGTTTGATAGATTCTACCGAACATTGTTAAATCCCTTTCCATGTAATTCCGGAAGATTTGCTGTCGAGTAAGAACATGAAACATTTATCTAGTTTAAGGAAATACGAGGACAAAGAAACTTTAATGCCATAATTATCATGTTTACTGTGATGACATTTCATTGATTACAGCCATACATATATCACATAGGCATTTTACTCATATGTATTCATTTATCAGATGAATATTAAATTGCCAATTGGTTGGACTGAGCAAAGGTTCTTCTGGCACTCAAAAACAAAAAGCTCTGCCTCTGGATGTCTACTGTTGACACATTTACACAAGTAATTTTTCTAGGGAAAAAACAACAACAAACATTTATACCCACAAACCACCACTGATGAAAAGAGATGCCAGAGGACTTTGTGAGTGTCACAGACTTGGTTATCTGTTAAATATATTTCACAGTTTTTTTACTGAAAGTTTACTTTCAGTTATTTAATCTGCAGTCTTTATTGGTGCTTCATGGCATCAGATGTGTGCCATTTCATCTAAATCCCTTTTAAGAAAATTGGATAAATTAGTCGTCCTTTAAAGGGATGGCAAAAATGAAATTATTGTCATTTACTCTTAAAACTGCATGACTTTTTTTGTAGAACATAAAAGAATTAATTTGAGGAATGTTTTGAGGACGATTGACTTCATTTTGTAGACCAAAAAAACAACAAAAAAAACCTACTTCTCAACATTCTTCAAAATATCTTTTGTTATTCACAGAAGAAATTAAGTCATAAGCCAGGTTTGGAACAGCATGAGGGTGAGTAAATGTCCCTTTAACTTATAGGATTGACCTCTAGTAGTGAAGGAAGGTTGTTCCTTCCTAAATTCAATACAACACAGATGTGCAAGTATTGCTAAATTTGCCAGAGCTTAGTTTGACTTCCTAGAGCAAGCTGAGGCAGATATACAGCCTGCTTCAAATGTTCCCCTATTTTCCTGTCTTCTATTGCCATTTCGCAATCCAGCCAAAACTTCCTTTGTTTAAAGAATAAATCTTGAGCAGTCTATGCAGCTGGCTCTTTCAACCCTGTTCTTCGTGAATGTATACTGAATGAAGAAATGAATTGACCTGAGATGAGTTCTGTATACTCTGTAAGTCTTCAGTTTCAGTATAACGGCAGACCTCCATAAAGGTTTAGGCTTATATCAGGTGCTGATACATTAATAAGTGCTCATTCATAACATGTACAGGATCTTATCGTTGTTTTATTTTTCATTCGCAATTTAGTTACTGCATGTTTACCTTACATGGTTGTTTATACATACGCACAACATTTAGCTTAAACTCACTCTGTTGTACTCTCACAGTGCAGGCATAGTAAAGGATTATGGGATATTTGATCATTTAGCTTTATGGCATCAGCCAACTAACTATTATTAAAATATAACAAATATAACGGTTTACCTGAATCTTTCTAAAAACTACACAGTTTATCTAGAGAGAAAGTGGCCATTTATTGTTTTGTTTTTAGCCCTTTTTTATTTGTGTTGTTTGTTAGGTTGCTTTTGGGGGATTCATTTTGTTTTTTGTTTTTTCTAGAAAAATAAAGCCTTCACAAACCATACATGTTTTGTTTAGAGTATACTGTTCATCACTTATGTTTGCTTGTTCAGTGTCTATTTAAATAGGTACACCACCTTTTTGATTTACAGAAATTAGGATTGTGCATAGATAAAAAAATACAAAGCTAAAATAAATGTAATTAAATTTTACAATTCCAGAAGTTTGGGTATGAGTTCAAGTGTTTAATAAAAAAGAGACTACATCTTTACAATAAACTACAATTCTAAGACCTCCTGAGGCCCTGTGAATGAGAACAATTGCTCTAAACATATTTCTGTGTATTTATGAAAATATGAATTATTGACAAAATATATATTTCATGCAAATTTTTCAAAAGTACCATTTAATAAGCACAATGAAAATGGCCAAAAATTATTTTGACGTAGCCAAAGAATTATGACCACCAGGTTAAGGAATGACTTCTCATTAGTGTCTGACAAGATTCAAATTGTGTAAAAGCAGAGACGCACAGAAATGTAATTATAAAAGTTGATTCAGGCCTATTCAGAGTTAAAACAAACCCTATGTTGTTCCTTAGTAAACTATTCTCTGCCAATTGAGGCACTGTATCCTGATCTTTGATCAATTAAAGGCACCCATACCACGGAATGACGAACAGTAAAAAAGGGAAAAATTACACTGCATAAGACTTATTGTGCCTCACAGAGGCATGGCGATTCCAGCTGTTTGTGTCCCACTTTCGTTTATCTCCACGCCGACAAAGTAGCAGAGCCTTGAAGGTGACCCGGAAGGACTCATTGCAGAGGGCGTAGCACATGGGGTTGACAGTGCTGTTTACGTAGCACAGCCAGTATCCCAACTGCCAGAGTTTTTCAGGAACGCAGTAGGAAATGGAAGCTAAAACCATGATGTTGTATGGCGTCCACGTGAGGATGAAAGCCAACAAGATGGCGCTTAGCGTCCGGGCTGCTTTTTTTTCTTTAATGATCGCACTGATGCGATGTTTTGCTCTGAGCTGGTGGCAAATGCTTTGTTCTGACTTTCTTGTTGTTTTTAAGTGGAACTGTCTGGTGGGATGCTCAGCGGATGAGTTGAATTGGTCTTGCACGCGCTTGGTATCCCCTGATCTACTTTGCAGGTCCTTCAACCTAATTGCTGCTGGATTGGAGGAAGGTGCTTTTGTCTTGTTGTTCTGCTCATGTTCCTCGTCTGTGGAAGAAGACAAGGTGCTATCATCCTGATCTTCAATGTTCCAGCTGCTGTTGCAACTCTCATGAGCTGACTTCTGCAAAATTGCTGCCGTTTTTTTTCTCGTGGTTTTGAAACACCCAACTGACATTCCTTTGGCAAAGCCTTGTCCCTTTATGGAATTGTCTTCCTTTGAGCGACTCAAGTTACTCTTGGTACTGGTTTGGAGCATTGATTGTTTGTCCAACCCATCCAGAACACCTTTAGTGCTTTTCACAGACCCAACCAAACTAGCAAGTCCTTTCGCTCTGTTCTCAATTTCCCAGTAAATTTGCCAGTACAGAATGATCATGATGCTGACGGGTAGGTAGAACGCAGCGATGGCCGTACCGTATGTTAGTGGAGGTACCTTCAAGAACGGGATGGAACAGGTCTGAGCTTCAGCTCCCGACGGTCGTCCCATTACATGAGGCCAAAACAAGATAACTGGCCCCCATAGCACAAACGATACCACCCATGCTACAGCGATCAATACCACTGCTGTCCTCGGAGTTCGCTTTGTCCGATAAGTCAGTGGTCGCGTGACTGAGAAATATCTGTCAAAGCTTATCACCAGCAGGTTCATTACCGAGGCGTTGCTCACTACGTAGTCAAGTGTCAACCACAGATCACAAGCTAAATGTCCTAATGTCCAGCGGCCCATGATTATGTATACAGCATATAGGTTCATTGACACCGTACCCAAGATCAAGTCTGCCACTGCTAGACTTAAAAGAAAGTAGTTACTGATAGTCTGTAGCTGACTGTTGACTCGGATGGAGATGACCACCAGGGAGTTGCCCAGGATGGTAATTAAGGAAAGAGGTCCAGTCACAAGGACAATCAGAACCACCTCCCACACCTGATGACCCCCGAGAGGGTCCGTGGTAAGGTTTGTTGCCGGAGAGCTGCAAGTGTGGTTCATGTTCCCAGGGGAGACACAACATCAGATCCTTGGAGGGCCAAATACATTCTTCAGGGGAAAAACCAGAAAGTGTCTCCTTCATTACTGACTGTGAACACCAACACTCTGTGACTCTGTTTTCAGGTAAGAAAGACAGAAAGGTATGTTTAATTTAAAGCACCTTTAGTAAGTTCCCAGACCTGTTGAGGTTGACATTTTAATTGGTTATAACTTAATCCTCCTCTTAAATATAACTAGTTTTACTGTTTACCAGTGAGCCTCGTTCACCATTGAAGGTTTTATACATAAATCTTTACATTTTACATTCCCTCCATTTGCATTTAGTAATAAATATGTTAAATAATTAGGGCCAAAGGTCTTTTACTCTCAAACCACATTATTTGAAAAAATAAAAACATGTAAAGGATTTCGTTTACTTTATTTTCACAGTGTATTAAATATCTAATATGTGTTGTTTATGCATTATCAACTATATGACTTATGAGTTATATAAGATACCTGTTAATAACTTTTATGCCCATCTATTTCAGAACATAATTTCCTTTAACAAAATTTTGCAAAGCACAATGTGTTATAATTAAAAATAATTCAACACTCATTAATGTTGCTTCCTCCTGTTGTTTACTTTAGTAATAATTAAAGGATACAGAGTATAACACTTTATTCGAATTTAAATAAAATGGATAATGGTTCTTGTTTAGGTAATTCTATTGGATAAAGTATTAAATTCCTGTATTTTCATTGTGTTTTCAGATAATTATAAAGAGTTTTTAAACTTCTTTTATGTTCATTAACACTGCAGAAATTGATTGTTTGCTTTCTCCTTGAAGTCAAAAGAGCACAAATGAATTGGCTGTTTATTAGGTTTATGTTTATTTGGCCTTCAAAAGATTCCAGCTGTTTTATGGTGGTAAATTTGTGTTGCCATTTACAACTTGGCTTAAATTTGAACTTTCTCAATGGTGAATGAGTATACAAGAACAGTTCCTCAGTTTCTTTTTGGATTCTCTCATCGTCGTCATATTCTATTAATGAGCTGGATACAGTCTTCTACATGGCTTTCCATGAATGTAAATACAGTAATAATTCCCTGTGTTTGACTTGAAACTCTCCAGAAAGTAAGTTTTTATGCAAATTATAATTAATTTAAATGACCATGAAATGGTTGACAATATAGTGACCATACCAAGTGCATGATAAATGGGCACTTACCTTTTTGGAAACAGCTTTTAAAACTTCTTTTAAAGTAAGATTTTTCTGTTTTCTCCAGGTATCCACTGCATGATGATGACCATTAACACCTGATGCCATTTGGAATCTACTTTACACTATTGGGTTGGATGATCACCAATGCTCAAGCGACAGCTACATCCAGGAGTGTTTGACTTGTAAGATGTCCTAGTGGAGAATAATTTTGTAGCTCACCACTGGCTCATCCACCTCTTCTAGCTAGAGGTGGCAATGTGTCGTCCTCTTGCTGCAGCGCCGGAAATAGGCGACTGTCATAATAGGTGTAAATACTGAATGAGAGTCTGCCAACTGTTCATACTCAAAGCCGGTGACGATGTGCAGGCACACTTCTCTCCATGTTTACCTCAGATGAGCTCTGAACTGATGAGCTAGATGGGATGGTGACCGTTCACGCTCATTTATAAACAAAAAATTGTGGATATAACAATTGTGAGCCACACTGTTTTCTCTCTATTTATGTATGATACTCGATGTGCAAATGACCTGGGTTAAGTCTCAGTGATGGTTTAATATGTGTCCACTATGAGGTTTACAGTTTACAGTTGGTAGCTGTACAATCCACAACAATAATTAAAAAGAAAGAAAATAATAATAATATATATATATATATATGTATAAACAATACACATTTCTTTTAATGTTTGGATTTATTTTACTTCTCAGGGTTCTACAATTTAGTGTGGTTTAATTTAGGGATAGCCTATAAGCCATTCATCAAAAACATGTTTTGTTTCTTTTGTATATTTAGTCTGTGGGTTTTATAAATGTGTACTCATTTGGATAGAATTATGGCATAAATTGATAATACAGGTTAGAGGAAATTACTTTATCATTGTTCATTGGAACTTAATATTCATTGTACGCTTAGCAAACATTCATCTGCTTGTTTTATGTAAAACAAATTTGCAATTCACAGTTTTTGTTTTCACAATTTTTAATTTCCTCTGTTAAGTTAATATGATGCTCTGTGAGTGATTCATGTATAAGTGTGTGTGTGTGTGTTTGCCTTTATAGACTTATTACAGACCATCTCTTTCACACCCCAGTCACTTCTGCAGATAAGAAGAGGTAGGATTTACTGCATTTAATTAAGGTGCAGGTGAGGAGACATGAGACAGTGGTAAAGATGATGCATTTATAACACTGGGCCACCTGTTGTCGATTAAATAAAAAACAGACATTTCAGATAAAATATGAAGTATATGTTTTTATACATTTTATATCAATTAACCATTAAGAAACATGTTTAGTATTGATAGTGTTGCGATGTTTTACATTTTGATTAAGTGAATAGGCTATCACACAGATTTTTGGACAATGAATAGTTTTAGGAATAAAAAAACAAACATCTTTTACTTTTGTAATGGGTATACTATCTGTGTAGTTCACTAATCCAACCATGAAGGAAAGTATGTGTTGTTTCATCCTTGCAGTTCCCTGGCTTTGAAGTGTGTCTTTTACTAACAACTGACGAACTAAAAATAATAAAGAATTTCCCTTGAAAAAAGTGGCTGATTTCACCAGGCAAGTATAGTTTGCTCACTATAGTCATTAACTTATTTTTTTTTTTTTTATCTTTCTTCATTGTAAGGTAAATAATTTTAAAAGCTGAACCACATGCACTGATTTTGGGGAGAGTGCCTTTTTAAATAATTCTAGGTAATTATTTATTTGGTTAATTATTTTATTGTTTATGCATTTCACCTTCAATTTTACTTTGACATGCATGCACAGAAAATGTTTACCAAATCCCAAATCTGCAATCTGGTTATTTAAAAATTGTGCACTGGTCCACAAGTTAACCACCGTCTCATCTCACTCTCCCCCTTAATAGAATTTTTTTCTTAGTATTTTTATTTGTGTAGGCTATTTAATGCAGGCTATTTCCAATGAAGACTAAAAGATGCATACTTGTATACTGGTTAAATAGCAATAAAGGTCTGCTGCTGGAAGTGTGTAAGACCATATGAACATTGCAAGAGATGAGAGCAAAAGGGAAAGGTAAAAAAAAAAAAACCTATGTAAAAAAAAATGTAAATAAAATGTAATGCTTAGGATGTCTGTGTTTTGTCTCGTAAAACAGGCTCGACAGTTGTGTGGCTGGTCATGCAAACTCTTAAGGTAATTTTTTTTACAGTGTTTCCATTCGTTTTTAATAGGTTGTCACGTTCGAAATGAACATGACTGGATGTTTTGGAGGGGAGATGGATGTCTATATCTGTTTTTTCACCTTTGTGGTTGGTGCTTCTTGTAAGCAACAAGGTACGAGAGGCCAACACAGTCTCATGAAAGTGCGTATCTATAGCCTACCACGATTGTCATTTCTCGTGGCATTTATACGACAAATTGTTTTTGCGTGCACTGAAAACCATAGACAGTAAAAGAAACCCCCCTAGGTAGGTTTAGGGGGAAGGGGGGTGGGTACTTCGTACTTATTATACGCCAAAAAGTGCGTATCATATACGAGAAAAACACGTACCCTAGTTTTGGCGTATAAAAGGCACGAGAAATGACATTCGTGCTATAGATACGAACTTATCGTGAATCAGTAGGCCATATCGTGAATAACTCCGCTTCGCGTCGTGCCTAACAACGCCCTTCAGCCTATATTCACGATACAGCACTTGCCTCGAGTACCTTATTGCTTTTATAAAACGGTGACCACACAATAAAATATTAAGGTAAAAACAATTAGTGCAACTTTCATGAAGTAAAATCACTTAAAGCCTTTCCGCTAGGAAAAAATAAATAAAAAAATTGTCCCTGACCTAAGCGTGAACAACAACATTGCAATATGTAATATGCATGAAAGCTAAAATAAAAACAACATAGGAACTACAGTGTTGCGCAATAGAACCGTTGGATGAAGCGGTCATTGCTGTTTTTTATCATTGCTGTTTTTTATCATGAATAAAGCTGCCTATTGACCAATCAGAATCAAGAAACTAACCGTTTTATAAGCTTAATTGTATATTCCACCAAAAACTGCTATTTGAATGAATAATGTTCAAATTAGTTTACATAGTGTGTATATGATACCTGTTCTGATTAATCACATGCACAACTTACAAGTCAAGCAGCAAGCCACTAATCTTTGTGTTTCCGCAAATGTTCAGGCCATCGGATTATTCATTGCAGGGCTTTTGGGAGGCGCCATGAACCATTATGATTAAACACTGGGCCCGTCAGACCTGAATTTTTTTTCACTGAGCAAAACTCATTGCCAATCCCCTTTTTTATTAGTTGTTTTTAGATGTACACTGGACACCACGACTGAAGCAACATACAAATCCTTACATTTTAGCAGGGATGAATTATGACTTGTAAAGGCCCTGGGGCCCGTTGTCTTCAAAGGCTTTGGCTCCTGTCAACTTTTTTTTTAACAATCTTTTCTAATGATCTGCCTGCTGAAAAATGGGTTTGAGCTCTTATATTTCTGAACTCTCAAAGTTCAAATAATGCATTTAATTTTAAAATGTAGAAACTTTTCTTGTCCCTGGATCTAGAAGAACTGAGGTCCACCCCTCATAGGCTCACAAAATCCGGTGGATCGTTTTGACCTCCCTAGTCTAGTGGTAATAGGTATTACAATCTGATTGGACCAGTTGTTTCGAGTGGTCTACTAAAATTTGGTTTTACCAGTAAAAAAAAAAAAACTTTAATTTTCAATATAACTTTTTCATTTGAAGGTGCATCTTTTACAGTCATTCAAACAACCGTAGAGTAAACGGTGTACATTTTTATTTTTTACAGTTCAAATTTTAAATGTATTTAAAGTATGCTTAAACATACTCTATTGCACTCTCTAGGTCTAGGCCGATTTTGTTGGATCATTTGTAATTAGGCAAAAAAAAAAATGCAAATGAGGCAAATTGGGCCATGTTTAAAAATTTAGTCTCACTTCAACTTAAGGAAAATGGGCAGTTTTAATGTAATAATAAATAGTTATTTTTCCAATA